TACACTTTTGAAACAATCTGAGTTTAGGACGCTCCAATTCTGAAACTTTTCGTATATAAAAATTTTTTTAAGGTTATGATAAGATAAAGCCTAGTTTTAGACGGATGTTAATAATTTTATAAAAAGAGGTCTGAATCGCAAACTATTTTATATTACAAAGATTAATAGTTTTACAAAATAATCTAAAAAACTAAAATAATTAGGGTAGGTTAGGGATTAGATATAGATATTAATATAGGTCTATAGCTATCTTTACTATGAAAATATCGGACTTGAAATATCAATATATTATTATACTATAATCATTTTTGAAATATGAATACCAATATTGATTCTCTAGCAAATAAGTGCATGAAAAAAGATATTATTTTCCTCTTTAAATTAATTAATATCAATTCTTCTACCCTCCCAAGTAAAATCAATTTTCTAATCTTCGTCATTCTCAGATTTCAAGAAATTCAAATTTATTAGCATCCTACATAGATTACTTTGACGATTCGTGGCCTTGGTTTGAGAAGGTTTTAACTATGAAATTTGGGAAAATTGAGTTTAGTGAGTGAGAAAGGTTCCAATTAGTGAGATTCATACATATTATTCTTAACGATTTCCGAAAATGTTTTAGTTATATTTTTCAAAATGAAATATTTAAATTTCGAGGGGTTTATATATAGTCGATAACATCTAACAAGTATCGATGGCAATCCATAGGGTTGGTCTGAAATAAATACGCTGGCAAAAATCGCATCAGATCAGTGTTTAGTTATTGTATTTTTTTTTTTATAAAAACATTTTGTTTATTTATCTATTATTCTAATTGTTTTGTTTTTTTAAGTGGAGTCGAAACAACGGGGCATTATAAAAAATATTTTTTAACTTATACCTACGTCAAATTTACTATTAATTCGAATAAGAAAATTATATTATTGTTCCAATTTAATAAACAAAATACAATAAGGAACAATAAATCATTTGTTTTTCATTGAAAAAAAAATACTATAAATAATTAATGTGAAAAAAAAATTATGAGAAACTTTGCGATTCAATGGTTCTCATTGTGTAAAGAAGTAGTTAACAATTTCGTTTCTCTTGTCTACACTTAATTTATTTCCATTGAAAAAAAACCGAAAACATATTAATTAATCACAATGAGGCTACTATACCCTTTATAGTGGAATTTTTTAGAATAGAAATGTCTCAACTAAATACTAAATATTCAAATGAAGTTTTGATTTATTTATAACAAATCGCTGAGTGAGAAAGAGGGAATCATTTTGTTATATTTACGACTCTCTGCTAATATGCTAAATATGCTAAATACAGGAGTGGGGGAAAATGTGGGCTAGATCGAGTGGGCATAGCACCAACGCCGTGGGGACCAATCACGCCTACGTCAAGAAGTTTCCGGTCGAGCCAGGCATCTGGTCCACGTTACAACACTTTTTTTATTTTTCGAAAACTTGTACAAGTTTAAGAAATTCTTGTAAAAATATCTGAATAATAAATAAATTATAATATTTTAATAAACGAATCAATGGAACAATATCGTCAGTTTATAAAAAAAAAAATCACTAAATATGCATTTAATGGAGCCTAACCTTAAAGTACATTTTTGTAGGTTTCAACCCTATTTATCAGTGTACTGATTTTAGCACTAGATTAGCGCAGGGATTTCCTAGAGTTCTATTTTTTCTTCAATAGTTAAAGGGACAAGCTTGAATTAAATTTCACACCCCTACTTGTAAATAGTGTACATAGGTAAGTCGGATTGAGTCGACTAATTAAAATTTGCATATGGATTAAAATATATCAGAAACTAAAAATCGGACCTGCATACTATAAACTAGGGAATCGATCAACATTTCACCTTCTTTCTGATGAGCAATTATCCGAAATTGTATCTTAACGAGTGTTAGAAAGACGAAAGGAATAAAAAAATAGTTTTGAAAACGAAATTATAACGAGTTTTATTGAAGATATTGGTTAAAATATCTCAGAAACTAAATAATCGGACCTGCATACTGTGAGCAAGGGAAATGTTCAGCATTTCATTCAAGTTATTTTACTTTAATAATTGTAAATACTTGTTTAAATTATTTTAATTATTAGCTAGTTGTTTGTTATTTGACTTCTGTATATTTTATCTTTTCTGTATATATATATTGTGAATGCTGTCTTACCTCACTGTAATCTTTGTCCAAGTAATAGAATGTACATAATGAAACAAACCGTTTTTGTGCATAAAAAATACTTGTACAATATTCAATTTTAAAAATATTAATATGAACGAAACTTCGATTATGAATCGCGTAGGCAGAACTTCATGATAAGCCGTATAAATGAGTAAGGGCTACAAAAAAAAAAAAAAAAAAAAAATGAATCACCTCTCTATCGATTCTTTAAATGCCACATAATTTCCACGTACCTTGATGTACTTTCTACAGAAATTTCCTTAAGTTTCCATAGAAACGTTTATTTACGATTCCATATAGCAAAAGTATTAATTATTATCTACAATGATTCATTAGCTTTTTCTTCTGCTTCCATCTTTCACGATATGCCAAATATTAATTTTTTCTAAATATTGTTAACAATACATATATTAATCAGATATTTGGAAATTATCTTTCAACTAATGGAAATATTTCGTCTATTTTCTCTTTTTAAAATTATTCCATAGTTCATATTTCTTATTACTAATAACAATAAGAGGCCTTTAAATAATTATTTTCAAAAAATAAAATTTACGGATTTATTTATGGAGCCAATTTGAAACTAGTTTATTTAGCTTAATACCTACATGATATTAAAGAACATACAATTTTATATCGGTATGACGATTTTAAAATTGTGCCTTTTACGAGAAAATGTGTAAAATCGATTATATTAAGTACTGCTTATCTTAATTCGATTTCGACTAAGGGCCTAGAAACATGATTTCCGCTAAAGAATTCAGAAATTTTTTAAGATCGTAATAATACAAAGTAGAAGTTAAGATAGGACTGGGTTTGAACGGCGAACGGTGGAGGGAGGTGTGTAATAAGCGATTGGTGGTGTCGGCATCGAACCTTCGGGTTCGCTAAGCCTTTTATTATTATTATTATTATTATTATTATTAGAAGTAAAGATATGTTTAAATAAAAAATCTAAAATTTACTTATCTTTTTATTGATAAATAAAAAGGTATTAACTCTTTTAAAGTCAACGGAAAATATATACATAAAAAAAAAAAAGATTCAATGGAATTCCGACCTACTGAGGAACAAATGGTTAATGGCGAGGACCGCAAGGTGTGGGGCACCAGGATAATAGAAAGAAAAAGAAAAAAAAAAAAGGAAAAAGGACATAGTAAGAATGTGGAAGGGAAATAAAAAGACTGCGTGGTGTGGCATTGAGAGCTGCCTACGATCGGTTCAGAATGGGAGGGAACAAAAACAAAAACGAAAAATAAAAAACGAAAAAAAAAATGCAAAAAAAAAAATACGTGCATACATTTGCATTTAATAGAGTTGGAGAGCCCACTTATTCGACTCTCTATCATTTAACCTCCGAGGAATGCGGCTCGAAAAACAATAGATTGAAGATTATTCCCAACGGTAGCCGAATCAAATCCAAAAGAAAATATACTAAAATACTTTTTAAATCACTCTGAATTTAAGTATAGTAATTCCAAAAATTGATTAAAAATCTGATATATATATATATATATATATATATATATATATATATATATATATATATATATATATTTTTTTTTTTTATTAAAATCTCTAGTAACATCAAGACATTTTCTTAAAAAATCATTTTGAGCTATAACTTTGAGCAGAGACAACTTTGAAGTAAAATGTTAATTTTATTTTAACACAAAAATTAAAAAGAAAAAAACGATCGTTTTCAGTACATTCATTTAACACTTTTTTCCTGGCATTTTAATACCCATATATAATTTTAAAAAGTATCATATCATTAAAGAACCTGATGAAGAAAATGTTAAAGTTGCTAATCTATATTTCACGAACTTCATAGCCGATTTTTTTTTTTTTTTTGCTAAAGAAATAGCAAAGATCCGTATCTTTAATTTACTTATTATAATAAAACAAATAAGTATGACGTTTAGGAAAAGCTCTGAATTTTTATTTATATTGTATTTTTTAAAAACAGAAATTTCTACACTGTAGGATTATTTTTGGTTGCATTAAATTATGATAAAAACGTTAAACTTACACGTTTTATAACTCATTCTGGTGAGATAATTTACGATAATAAAAAATATGAATAAAACATTTAAGAATTAAAATTAGCGAATTTTGGGAAAGAATTAGATTTAGGAGAAAAATACTTTTATAGTTGTTAATGTTATATAGATTTTTATTTTTTAAACAGCTGAGAAATATGAACTTATGATTTTTCTATATGTTGTAATTTGAAAAATGAGAAATTTTTATTTAATGATTATGAGGTAATAATTACAATAGCTCTAGATATAGATTTTTTTTTAGAACAAAATGTTTAGGATTTTTCTTTATATTGAATTAAAGTAACAAAACATGTTAAAATTATTATAATTCATTGTCATCATATTGCGGTCGAATAGTGTTGGTTACGACGATAAAAAAATAATAATAATAATTAAACATTTAGTAGTTGAAGTTAGTAGATTTAAATAAGTTAAGGGAGAAAATACTTTAATGGGTATAATTGATAATGTTTTTATTTAAAACAGCTGATGAATACGAACATATGATTTTTATAAAATAAATAAATACTGGCTGATTTTGGATTGCCTCCAAAGGAAAATTTCCACTCTCACTTACGAAAAAATCACGAACCGGACTTCGGAACGAGTATCATAATAAATAATAACAGGAACCAAAAAAAAAACAACGTTATTTATTAATAAATAAATAACGAAAAATAAATAAAAAGAGAGACTAGAATTGAGGAGAAGGGACGGATACAGTTAGCGAGTGGGGGCCGTTTTTAGGCGGCAGGCGAGCACAAGGTCATGCAAGGTCACAGACCCCCAAGTTCCTCCCACACCGCCAGGTATCCCTATATCCGTCAGGATCAGTCTGTCTGTCTGTACATCTCCTACGTTTTGGTGTACCCCAAGAAGTAGCCAGGACATATGGGAGTACGTCCTCGTAAGTGTGGAAGGGTATACCAACTGACCCACATGTACCGGAGAGCGAAGAGGGGGAGAAAGAATCCGTCAAATCGACGTTACACGTTCGATAGAAACTACTCGACATTTAAAATAAAATACAATATGTAATATATAGAACACAAAAAAAAAAAAAAAAAAAAAAAAAAATACACTCTTATACTAAAAAAAAAAATAATACGAGAACTCGATACGAAATAAAATAATATAAAAAAAATTAAAGAAAAAAACTAATGAATGAGCCTTGTTGTTTTATTTTTTTTTCGACCGATACCAAATGTAGTGAATGGAGACAGGACCGGAAATGAGTCATATCCTCTTGGTAAACGTAAGATAAAAAAAAAAACTCGATAGATTACTCTCGATATAAAATACACATGTACACATTTTTAAAATCTGTATATATATTTTAAATTATTACTGTATTAATTATGTTCGTAAATTTAAATCACACATTAAATAAAATAATTCTTGTTTTTTTCTTAATTTGAATTTAGATTTTTATTTTTGGTATTGTTTTTATCAATATGAATTATTGATATTAAGAAAAAATATACGTTTATAAGTGTTTGTAGTGTAATTATATCAGACGGGATATATTTGGTTCGGTTTCTATTGAGGAAGAGGATTGTAATAATCAATGAGATAGCTTTGTGAATGGACTGTCCATTCATATTCTATTGTTCATATGAATGATTTCCGAGTATGAATAGTTGTACACAATTATGAATGAATATATTGAGACTTTGACGGTACATTGAAGTTGTTATTGATAGATTTTTCATGTATGGGTTGTTATTAGGGATTTCAGAGTAGTCGTAGGAGACAGATGTGAAGGAGTGTGAGAGGTGCGGCAGGGAGATGAATGAATGGGAGCGGTAGCAACTTCCGGCCTCATAGCGGATGTGGACTTACTTGGTGAGTTGGCAATCCTGACCCCTTGTTGTTTGGCTCCTGTTGTTGCAGAGGGAAGAAGACATATCGTACTCAGCAACAACACTTTACAATGACACTTCACCTACACTCTGGAAGCACACTGACTGTATGATAGAGAACAGAGAGTTCTGGACGAACCTTCCACTTAGAGAGCACGGCTACAACTGAGGACGGCGGCGGGGCGACCCTAGCGGCAGATATATGAACTAGCTTTTTATGAATGAGCCCCCCACTCCTCCCCGGCGGCCATTGATACCCCCTCCACTACGCTCCTCTCAATGAGAGCCGACCGGAAATGTGTAACACCCAAGCTAGGATAAACTCCGAAGCTTTTAGTTCACCTTCCACTCCTCAAACAGCTACGGATATTTCGCCAATCTAAACCCCTCTTACACAATATAATATGTTATATCACCAATTAAATATTGACGAACCAAATTTAATATTTTAAATCTTTTACGCAATAAACCTCCGGTGTACAATCCTTACACGATTAAATTAAACATAACTAATTGGCACGTGCGAATAATTCGCATCGTATATCGGTCACTGATCGAATGGTAATTCAAGTTAATGCAATGCATTCTGGGAAGGAGAAAATTATTTTTACTTTCACTTACTTAAAATTTTTTTTGAAATAGTTGTTGACCATAGGCGCCTCAGATATTGGAAACATTCAATTCCGGTTGGAGGGACCACCCAAAAAAAGTCTTGGGAGTTTAAATTGCGTATAAAAAATTAAAATAATTATTGTAAAACGATCAAAATATCACTAAATATGAAACTAAATTTATATAAATGTTCTCTTTTTGAAGTGAAAACTTCTTTTGGCGGGTTTCGCATTTTTTTTTCCTTATATGGAGAGTGAATCAGATTTAGCCGTCAGATTTCCGATGTATAACGCTCGGGTAGAGTTAGTTGGAGTCGACTTAACTTGAAGTGTCAGTCGACTAAAAATTAAGTGTTTTTTGCATTTGGATTAAAATATCTCAAAAACTAAAAATCGGACTTGCATATTGTAACCGAGTGAAATATTCATCATCTCATCCTCTTTGTAATGAGCTATCATTCAAAAATGTATCTTAACGAGACTTCGTGTTTTAAGAGGCGAAAAGGAAAAAACTAGTGTCGAAAACCGAATGATAACGAGTTTTATTGAAGATACGGATTAAAATATCTCAGAAATAAAAAATCGGACCTCCTGCATACTGTAATCGAAGGAATTGTTTAGAATTTCATCCTCTTTTTAATGAGCTTATTGTTTTAACATCTATTGAATGGCCTAAAGCAGGCACCTTAGTTTTCTTTTTTGAGGCAATGAGATAAACTCTCAATTGTCTGATGCTCTAAAATTGCCATGGGAAATGTAATAAAGTCTTCAAGTAAAAATAGAAGGGTGCTCATGAATGAATCATTTCATATTTTATTATTTCATTCATTCATGTAAATTAATTGTAATTGATTAATAGTGGAGCATTGTTCGAATTAATACTAACATAAAATTGCAAATAGTCATTTATCGAAACTTTCCCTATTACAGAACAGGGCATTGAAAACTATAACAAAACACAGTGAACAAGAATATTTCAAAATAAATAGAACATTACCACCGAATTGATTTTAGATATTCAAAATGGCTCCCAAATTCATTCATAATGGTACATTTAAAAAGAAATCAGCCATGTATACAGCGATAGTGTTTTCCAAAATCGAGCTTGGTCTTGCACTTTGCAAGACTAAAACCAGGACTGGTAAAAAAAAAATCCATTTTGTAAATAAAAATTAACGCAAAATAGTTACTAATACTCGGCAATTTTAGTTATTGTGTGCTAATAATTGGTATAACCAATATACTTTCGCATTTAACTCCTCTAATTTTTCATTAGGATTTAATTAGGTTTCTCCTATCTAAGAAATTACAGTAACATCTCTATAGTAATAAGCTAATAAGTAACTGCAAGACTGTTGTGAGACTCTTGCGCAAGACCAAGACTGAGTTTGCAAGACCAAGACTCGTCTCGGTCTCTCATTGGGGTAACACTGCAATGAGAGTGTAACTAATCACTAAATACATTGGACCTATATATTTAAAAATAGATTCGAGATGCATAGTTCCTTAACTGTTCAACCGAATACCAGAAAGTCTGTTAAAGAGATCTAACTATGAGGGAACTAAAAAAGAAATCATTAATTGGAGAATTTCTCATATTATAAAATTTGTCACTGAGGCTAAAAAAAAACACTCTTTCCCTGAGTAATATTTCCATAGGACTGGACTAATAGCTAAGAAATCCTTTCTATACGCTATTAACCCCCGATGACCATAAGGAGTCGGAAAAGAAAAAGGTAGGGAGACCGGAAGTGGAGAGGAGGGGGTATAGGATAATTTTATCTCGACATAGCTATCCTGAAGAGGCAGCCGACAGCTTCCGGAATACCAAGAGCTAGAGGTTCTAATTTATGTTGCTGTGGCACCCCAGCTAGCTACAAATCGCCCGCCCGACAAACCGGAGACTAATTGTCGAGAGTTGTGTCCTGGGCTGCAGCTCCATGTCCTGGAGGACCTCGAGGCTTCCTTTGTTAGCGGTGGTTACTGCGACTGCAGAGGCTTAGGGCTTTGTGTTGGCTCTGTCAATACCTAACCAGTAGTTTTTGTGTGTGTATATATATATATATATTTTTTTTTTTTTGTTCTTCATTAAATAAAATTTATTCGACCAATCTGGAGGATTTTAAATTCAAAAATTTCGATATTTGATTATTTGTAAAATTAATTGTAACTAAAAAAAAAAATTATTAACTCTCAGATCATTGGTTCGCATTTTTGTCGGTTTTTCAAATGGTGCTCATTTGGACCATAAAGGTGCTTGTCAAAAATGTACAGAGGAACCACCGAGGTCAAAAATTTAGATTTTGCATTTCAGTCATAATCCATACAAAACAAAAAAGAATCCAACCTTCTTCCGTCACTTGATGCAACTTATGATGTACAAGTTTACTGGATTAAATCTCTCATTACCCAGAGTAAATTACTAACTAATAAATCTTTTGTCAAATCAAGCATCATTAAGCCTGAAAATATACCATAAATATACAGCAGAGATGTTATATCTCACAGAAATAGTCAAGAAAACATTAACGAAATCAATCCAAGATAGTTCAATGTACACGGAATATGTGTACTCAGTTCAACATAACGTTTATACGATGGATCGTTATGATTGTCTTATGGTTATGATTATAATTTTCTGGTGAAGAATGGTTTACTGTCTTGAGAAAAAACAGTATGTCATACTGTCTGGAAGTATTCGAAATCAATTTCCATAAACATGGATAATGTACATAATTAATTATAATCGATGCATCTATGATGCTTGATTTCTCATAAGGTATTTCAATTTTTAATTTTACCTCATCTCAATCAGTTGTAAATATTTCAATTTTTAATTTTAGATTAGCACGTATATTTTAAGCAATCATTTTTTTTCTCAATGAATATCAATAAAAATTTCACCAATCACTCCCTTCCTTTCTGTATGCTGAATCATAAATAAGAGATTCAATATTCTATCGAACCCATATCTGGGTGGTTAGTTGTTGTAGAGGAAAAACGTAAAACCTGTTGGTCATCATATTTCTTCTGGTTGTGAATAATAGGAATAAAATTAAATTAAAAATACGTAAAATGCACGTTAAGGTTAAAGTTGTTTACGGTTATTAAAGTTTATTTATTTGAAGTTAGCAATATAAGTAAAATTTAAAAAAAAAAAAAAAAAAGAGATGGAGAATGCTGCGTGAGAGGTTCAGAAATTTTTAAAGATTCCTTCTTCAGAGAGAAAACATATAATTTTGCTCAAGATTTTTTCATCATTTCCCAAAGCAGCCGATGTATTCGCTGGTATTCCTCTTTTGTTTAATTCTATTAAAGGCATAACTCTCGAAGACATGGACCACTGTCATTCTCTCTCCACACTTCTGACAAATGGGAGCGTTTTCTTTTCGTAATTCAGTGAAGGTGCGTAAGCCTGGTATGACCTATTCTTAGTTGCGTTAGGACAACTTCCTCTCTGCGTTTACTGCGACTGGAGCTGCTCCATGGATTCGCTTAATTTTTTATCATCTTTCCCAACCATTTTATTCCCACCAATGCCTACATGAGAGGGGGATCATAAAAAATGTACTTACGTTCCAATGTTACCTGTTTTATGAGTCCCAAAATACTATATATTATTAGGTGGTCTGGATACATGTTGTTCATGGCTTTAAGGGCTCTCAAAGAATCTTATACCACAACCACATTTACAACTGGCGTTAGAGCCCCCAATCATTTTACGGCGATAATAAAAAATAAAAAAAAAGTATAAAATATTTATGTTAGGGGCACATCGGAAGGGCCCCAAAATTGGCGAAAAAAACAATTATTTTTGGAGTACTAAAAAAATATAGAACAATGATTTCTGAGTCCCTCCCCCCTTGGCTCTGGCCAAACCGACACTGATCACCAAAACCCCGTCAACTAGTTTCAATCAATCAATCGAACAAAATTAATTCTTATAACTGATTTAGAAAGAGATTAAATGAAAGTTAACCATTCGGTTGGCAGACGACCGAGAAAAAGAAATCAGTTATTTACATCTAAATAAAAATATATAAATAACTTATTATTACCAACGCCTACTGAATGGATGCCCCCCCTCCCACCCTAGTACACAAGTTTCCTTTCAGATTTACTATCGATATTGGTTTTCCTCTTTCCTGTTCTGGCATTTTATCATTATTATCTCATACTATATCTGTTAGCAGTGCCTCTGTAATCGACAAGTATTTCCGGGCTTCGAGTGCCGTTTCCGCTCTCTGTGTATTTTTATATTAAAATAGTTAGTAGAAGAACGTACTTTTCGATATCCGGAAGTCAGTTACAATTATTCAAAATGTTATTAACGTAAATACATACTTAACAAAATAATTATTACATGATATATATCAACTGTATTAATTATAAATAAAAAAACTTTAGAAACTGAATTCATTTTATACTTTTTCCGTGGTCAATTGCTTAAATTTTAATTTATTTAATTACTTCAATATAAGTTTTAATGGTTTTAAATTCCTAACATTCTATTAAATTCTTAATTATGGAAAAATAGCATCAAAAA